AGTAGAATGTTATAACCTACTGATGCTACTCAGGTGTCATCCAAGGGAAGCATCAGAACATGTTAATAGAGCATCCTGAAACTTCATCTCTGTTTCCAGGAATGTGTGGCTATTTAGGTCAGGTAATATTCCCAATGCCATCACTTTTTTGTCTTATCAAGATTCACTTTCAGTTGTTAATTCTTAACCAGCTAATAAAGGTACGATACATGTATGTTTCCCCACAGCAGTCAGAATTCATCATGCATTTGGTTGCCACATAAAGTACTTTTCTTTTAGAGCCCTTCTCTTGCTGTCTGTTTCTCCTTGCCTCCCTCCTTTTGTTCTAGCTCATGCTGAATTTTTCTTGGAATTATGCTCTACAGTGGTTTAGCTTGCGACTGTCACAAATCATTGTGTTCCAGAAGCTTTCCAAAGTTCTTCACAAGACTTTTGTTTGCATAAATGTTTTAGTAGGACTTAGCAACAGCTTGGGGAGAAGTTTTCCTTAAATTAAAATCACATATGAAAACAATTTAAACTGCAAATTGGCTCTGCTTGGCAGACAAGTCTCTTCTCCCTCCAGGTGCTGGATACAGATGATAAAGTAATACAGGGCTGCAGAATGAGAGAGGGCAATTGCCCATGGTCTTGAGTGAATGTTGGCTGTGCAGAGATTTAAGCTGTCTCTCATACATACATGCAATTCTCTTGTCTGTGGTAACTTGTGTGTTATTTGCACTCTTGGTCTGGAAATTAAAAGCTCATGAGTAATGGATCAGAAATCTGAGTAGGTACCAGAACTATGCGGAGGCTGTTAAATAAGTGAGTTTGGAAATGTTGTTTTTGGGTGGAACACTGCCATGTTACATGTCTATCCAACAGTATTGCATATGGAACTTCTAGCCTCTGTAGAATGGGAAGGTTACTACCTTGTTTTCCCCAAAATAAAACCTAACCTGAAAATAAGCCCTAGTATGATTTTTCAGGATGCTCATAATATAAGCCCTACCCCCAAAATAAGCCCCAGTTAAATGAAACCCCATCCTCCACCATTGTGCAGCAACCAGAAAAAGGTGGTGTACAGTGGTGCCTCCAAAGACAAATGCCTCACAGGTAAAAAAACTTGCAAGACAAATGGTTTTGGCAATGGGGTTGATGACTCGCAAGACAAATGCTCTTATGGCCGTGCTTTACAAGATGAATGTTTTCTGTTTTTTGTTCCTGCCTCATGTTTGCTGGTTTTTAAATGTTTTTCTATGATGTTTAAAAAGTTAAAGTTTTTTTTATTGAAATTTTTAGATCATCTGCACAATATGTATGGCTTTGAAGACCACTTAATAAGCCCTTTGTAAACCAAATTTGACTTTGTTCTGACTTTTATTGCCTATAGGAATGCATTAATTAGATTTCACTGCATTCCTATGGGAAAACACGTTTCGCAAGATGAATTTTTCGCAAGACAACATTAACCGTGGAACAAATTAAATTCATCTTGTGAGGCACCACTGTATTTGAATAAATGTAGATTGTTGTATATGAAAAAAATAAAACATACCCTGAAAAAAAGCCCTAATGCGTTTTTGGAGCAAAAAGTAATATAAGACCCTGTCTTATTTTCGGGGAATCACGGTATTAGACGTTATAGCCCTTTTGGAATAAGAATTTGGATCCTGACTTCTCAGTGGCAGAATTGAATGCATAGAATGCTTCTGTGGAGGAAAGGGGCAGACAATTATCCTGAAAAGCTGCTCTAGATAGTTGAAGGGTGGTTGAGAGTGCTGTAAAGTAGAATGCAAAGAAAACTGCCAACATTTATTCTCGTTCCAGTAGCCGCTTCTGCTGGGTCTCAGTCTCTTTCACAAATGAAAGGGACCCTTTCTGTATGTGAAAAAGCATGGTGAATCCAAATGTAAGTTATCTAGAAGTATAAATCCCTTGGATTCTGAAGTTTTGCTTCACAATCATTTGAAAATTTCACGTGCAGAGCTCTCCGTTAAATCTTAGGCTCTAAACCAATATGGCAAACACCATATTTGTCAGTGGATTCTAAAGTTACTTCAGAATTGGCTGTTGTATTCTCCAAAGTTTATTTCTAAAATTTGGGCTGTTCTGTATTTCAGTGTACAGTATTTAGCTGCCAGATCGGTAAATGTTTGTAGCTAAAGCTATGGTCTGTTTTCAAACAATGTTTCTCTCCATTTAGGCTACAGACCTGCGCAGTCTTTGTGGGGGATTCAGTGCCATTGAAATAGTATTTTGTCACCCTTTAACATATGGTTAGAGGGACTGGGAGAGAATAAAACATCTTTTGAGTTTATAGATTTGGGAGGAAGTGTTTGAGGCTTTCTTTAGGCCAGAACTTGTTTTCGATAATCTGCATTCAGCACCTGGAAGGAGAAAAAATCCTGCCAAGCAGAGCGAATTTACAGTTTAAAATAAATTGTTTTCATCTGTGAATTGAATCTTAGGAAAGCAACTAGTTAGATAGAATGTTAACTCCCACTTAAAATATTATTTAGATAATACAGTATAGTAGCCAACTGTAGTGGTTTGCCCATTCAGGGTTGTGCAGTGAATTAAATAATTATGTGACGCTATCTCCACAGTAGGTTAAAACTGAACGGTTAATATTGGCATACAAATATGTATATATAATGGCAAAATGTTCCCCCCAACTTAGAAAAATAAGGATTTCATACAAATTCATATTTGTGGTTTTTATTTTGTAAGAATTGGAAAATCTAATATTGCTGTCTTTTGATTTTTGTTAAACCAATATATAAGTTTTCACTGTGGAACATTGTGGAAAACAGCATGAAATTGAAAATAATAGAAATCACTGTCTGCTCTGTTTTTATAATTCTGGATTATAAGATTAACAGCACAGATTTTATTGTTACTGTAGTGAAAGTGAGAAATTTATGCAGCTTTAGCATATAATCGTACTTCAAACTTGGTAGAAAAGTATTAGACTTGTTACCTTTGTTTTGAATAGCGGCCAGAAATATTACTAGATCGGAAAATGTGTTCATTCACACGTAACTGAGCAGAGTTTAGCTACAATATTTAGGAACAGCTGTCGGCAAGCTTAATATGATTGCATTGCTGTTATGAGTGGAATAAGGCACTTCAAAACATGCTGTGGAGGAGGGATCTGATTAGTCCAAGTGATATGTGCGGAAATGTCCTGAACTGACAGAAAGGTATGGTAATGAAAATAAACATAAAAGTAAGGACATCCATCATGTGGACAGGAGAGAAGAATAGATTCAACAGTGTTTTGAAATATTTACTGCAGCTGAACAAGCAAGCTAGTTTTGAATAGAAAATAACATTGTTTATTCAGCAGCACTAAACATCTCTGCACTGATGTGATCTAGAGGCGTTTTGCTCTGCGTTCTTATGTGTGACCTACTGCACCTAGTATAATAGTCCTGGACTTGAAATCTAGGCACATCACAACAGTTACACTGCTTGCAGGAAGACATTGGCATTGTGATAGAGATATTATTTCCCTGGTGACATGTTACCATCTATTTTCTGTAAAATCTTACGTATGGTAATATTAAGGAAACACATGTAATAATTAACAATACAATGCAATACATGTGTGTTTAACAAGAAGGTATACTGGGGTCAATGAGGCTTACTCCTGGGTAAGTACCCTGTTTGCCCAAATATAAGACCTACCCCAAAAATAAGCCCTAGTTAAGTAAAACTCCACCCTCCACCATTGTGCAACATTGTGCAGCAACAAAATGACATGACTAGAAAATAAAACATCCCTCAAAAATAAGCCCTAATGTGTTTTTGGAGCAAAAATTAATATAAGACCCTGTCTTATTTTCAGGGAAACACAGTATAGAGTTACATCCTAATCTAAGCATGTTTAGGCAGAACACATTTTATTTATTTAAAATATTTTTACTATCTCGTTCTCCAAAAAAGGGACCCAAGGCAGTTTTCATAATTAAACAAACAAAAATATTTGGAATCTAAAAACAGTAAGTTATTCAGATATTTAAGAATTAAATAGATATATTTTATATAAACATGACATATAAACATATCCTGTATATTGAATTGTTTTCAGGCCTTGGACGTTAATTAGTCTAGTGGTTCATATTAGAAGCATTAGCATAGCTGCACACGTAAATGTTTGTGATATAGTTAAATATATTAAATACTTTCAGTGAGCTCCCAATTAACCGTCTGCAGTATGAATTGGGTAAGGGGAGTGATTTGACTTAAGGTTCCAGAAGCTGAGTTTAGCAAATATGCAGAAGTAATCATGTCCTATTAAAGGCTTTTAAAAGGTTTATAGAACAGAATTTGTGTATATGTTTGTGCATATCTATTGTATATATGCTACTAGAAAACATTGTAAGAATTTTTTTGTCTGTATTAACCTTTTAAATAATTTTCACTTCTGGTGCAAGTTATATCAATTAATTGTGGCTAAAGACAGAAGACTGTGAGGTTATTCTTGCCTGCCAAGTCATAGTTATGTCTTGTGTCAGTACCATTGCCCTATCATTCTTGGGCATGAAATGGTGGTGTACATCATTACATTTAAAGATACTTTCATTTATGTATGTGTTTTAGGAAATAATTGATGCACAATATTTGTTAGAAATGTATAGGTCACATTGCAGCTTTGAAACACTTATTCTCCTATAAGGAAATTTCTTTTTTATAATCTGGTCTTTAGTGAATATAATCTTTTTCCCCTGAATTCCCAGAGGGGAGTGCAAAGAAGAGAATACAGTACAGGAAATAATTTTCTTTACAGATGTAAAAATGCGGGATTTTCTTTAAGATTTCTGCAGGAACACGAAACTCGGTAATCCATGAATTACTGGAGTCAGTCCAGCCTTTCAGTATGGAACCATTAGAAGAACACATCTTAAACTTGTACATCTTCAGGGTATTTTCCAAAGTTGTCATGCCAAGTACATGAGTTAGAAATACTACTCCAATGTCTTGTTTAAGCAATTTGTAACTATAAATAACTGAGAAAAACCGCTTGCTGCCAGACATAGGGACTGCATGAAGCTGGTACAGTATATGTTTTCAGTTTCCAAACTGGATCAATTATTATTTAAACAATACAAAAGGTGGCTAGATTTTAAGGACTTTCCTTTTCTTTTAACAATTGTACATATCTGTGTGCCAGATAATATGGATTTCTTATAAATCTGTTGCAGAATATATGCAGTGCAAAGAGTGAACTAGAGCTGTAAGTAAAGCACCGTGTAAAGAAATTTTGCTTTAGCAGATCGTGTTCCCATTTTCTAACATGTGGTTCTTAATGTAATTTTGGGCATTGTTGTATTTGGGCCTGATCTTGTGTGGGTAATTGTACACTTACATGCTTTTGTAAATTGTAAAGGAATATTTTTGGAAACAGATGATATTACAAACTATTTTTTCCTAAGTGTTAAAAATATGCATTTAAGAAAGATACTTTAAATATGAATATAAACAAAATTTTAGAAGATATGAAAAAACTATATTTGAATGAAATGATATCTGAATATGAAATATTGTACTTTATGAGTATTTTGAGTAAAATAAGGAAATAATCATACTGGGAAGAGGCCTATTGATTTCATATCTTTTCTTTACTTTATCTCGAATAAATCACCTTGGCTTCAGTAGGGCTAAGTATGGCTAAGCAAGATTTAGCTCTTTATTAGCTGACATTACTCTGGAATAAATAGAAAGGTCTGTGCAAAATGAGGAACTGAAAAATAACTTTTGTTATAGTGTACTGAACACAATTTTCCTAGGTCCATTAGTTATGAAATCATAAAACAGTAAAGAACACACCATAATCTTAAGAGCATATATTACACAAGGCATTCAGATGGCATAGTGCCTAATTTGTAAAACAAAACAAAATGAAAAAACTGGAAAGCCTGTAAACACCAAGAAAAATAGAAAATATGGGAAGAAATGTAATTTGTAGCAATTATGTACTAATTTTCAAAATTAGTTCATAAATTCAACAAAGTATTTGAAAATAGTATTAGAGGATAAATTCTGTATTTTGCATGCAAATATTGAAATACCAAAGAATTGGTGTGATCCCATGTTACAACAGAAGAAAAGGACAGAATTTAAGAGGCAGGATTGCGGCAATAGGTTTTCATTTTTCATATGATTCTGTTGAACTTGGACAAGGCAACCAAGCTATCCAACAGTCTGATACCTTCAAGATATTTTGGATTATAACTCCCACCTTTAACCAGAATGGATAATAGACATGGATGGTGTGAACTGTGGTTGTAGCCATCTAAAGCAGAGGTCCCTAACCCCCGGTCTGCGGCCCGGTGCATATCCATAGGAGGTGTAAATCCATCTCTGCCAGATAAAATTTGAGGGGGGGGATGTCAATATACTTGTGAGTTTAGTTTACTTTTATGGGTTGTGGAAATGACACTCCCTTCATGTCTCCTTCCCCCAAAAAAGCCCCTCAATGAAGAGTGCTTTCTATTCAAGCCCAAACAACATCTTCACCACAGGCCTCACACCCTGTCCAGTTTTCTTGCCTCATCTTTTTGTCCCTCTTGTCTTCCTCCTCCATATCTCAGGTGGGGTCCAGAGGCATCTCCCTGCCCAGGTCCCATCTCCCTTCACTGCACTGCCATTGCAGCCCCAGAAAAGCAGGACACTCTGGCAGAGTGAACGGCGCTGCTGCCACAGCAGCAACAACTTTTCAGTCCTGCCGCCATCTTGGGCGTCAGCATTCCCAGCATGCACCACACACTCACCTCACTGACTTAGTGGTTCGAGGTCTCTAGCTGCAAAGCCAGAGGTTGGGAGTGTAATTCTCCACTGCGCCTCTTTGATAAGGGCTGGACTCAATAATCCATAGGATCTTTTGCAGTTCTGCAGTTCGAAGATTATTAATTATTATTGAGCTAAATTAACACTTGAGGACTGATATCAGTCCTACATGAGGACTGATATCAGTCCTCCAAAGGTGGATGAGGAGGGGCAGAGAGAAACAAGTGAGAACAGCTCTTTCAGAGGGGGTAGTAATGATGCACATGGACAAAAGGAAAATCTGCCCAAAGGGGTAGAAAAGAATTCTAGGCTGCCTGCAACTCCATTTCAGATTAAAATTATATATCTGTGGGCCAAGAGGATTTTTAAAAAAGCAAAGGGTGTACTATATTTAATATAATACAAAAATAACAGCAACTAAAAATAACTATGTTGACACAACACCCCAGAAAACCCTTCAGAACTCCCTTGGGTATCATAACCCTCATGCTGAGAACCTGTGTTCCAAACACTGTAATATTTTGAGAGCAATTAAACAATTTTAAAAATTAAAGTATTATTTTAAAAAAACCAAGGCAGTTTATAGTGGGCAATAAAAAATAAAAACCTGCAAAAATAATCAAAACCTAATTTAATGGGCCTGTCAAATGAATATGCCCAATAGAATATATAAGTAACAAAGCTCTTATCCTCTAGTCTGAAAGGTACTGACTAAGAGCTATTCTTTATTTTATGGTAGACATCACAAAGCCCGATGGGGGCATTCCACAAGAAGGGCAACCCGACTGTTCATTAAAAATAAAACGAGTTCAAAAATAGTAAGAAAAACGTGAATATTTTCAAAGAGCTGAGGCTAGAAGAAAACACACATGTTGTTTTGGAGATACAGATACCTAATTTAGAGGTGTTCCACACTTCATTTTTGGAACCCCTACCATCGTTCATTTCTAGAAACAGTGGGTATTACTGAGATGGAAGTATTTAAATTCAGCTTTGAGTCAGACATGCTGCTATATTCTCTTATGATAATAATGATACTCTCCTGGAGTCGTGAGTATATCATCTGGAGCACTCTTAATATTATAGGATGTGCAACGTATTTTCTTCTGGCAAGTTGGCTAATGAACTTGGGAACAAAATTAAATTTCTGCTCTGGAACAGTTTTTATAGTTATCAATTACATTTCCATAAATCTGTATCAGTAGATATTTTGAATTCCAACATAATCATCCAACTTAAAATGAAATGCATAGGATGTGAGTAGATAAATAGGTACAATACCACCTCGGTGGGAAGGTAAATGGCATTCCGTGTCTAGTCACGCTAGCCACGTGACCACAGAGGATTGTCTGCAGACAAACGCTAGCTCGATGAGTTGGAAATGGAGATGAGCACCACCACCTAGAGTCGGACACATTATATTAGTAATACGTATTTTTTAGATAGACAGACAGACAGACAGATAGATAATGTGTTTACCCCATTAAAAAAGGGACCACCACCTAGAGTCGGACACATTATATTAGCAATACGTATTCCACGTGACGGAGTGAGCCCCCGTCGCTTGTCCCAGCTCCTGCCAACCTAGCAGGAGTAGCAAAATGCAAAAAATGCAAAATGCAAAAGGGACGTGGCACTGCGGTTAAACCACAGAAGCCTCTGTGCTGCAAGGTCAGAAGACCTGCAGTCGTAAGATTGAATCCACGTGACGGAGTGAGCCCCGGTCGCTTGTCCCAGCTCCCGCCAACCTAGCGGGAGTAGCAAAATGCAAAAAATGCGAGTAGATAAATAGATACCACCTCGGTGGGAAGGTAAATGGCATTACGTGTCTAGTCACGCTAGCCACGTGACCATGGAGGATTGTCTGCAGACAAAACGCTAGCTCGATGAGTTGGAAACGGAGATGAGCACCACCACCTAGAGTCAGACACGACTGGACAAATTGTCAAGGGGAACCTTTACCTTTTACCCCATTAAAATACCTTTTAGACAAATGTGGGAGAGGGTCGCAGGTTACTTGAAAGGGGATTGCAACTCGAAAAAGGTTGGTTCATGTGATACAATAATTGAAGAATATTTCATTGTAGCTGGAACTGTGCCACAAAACTGTATAGTAAGGGTGATGTAGAGAGCAGATTCCTCTGCCACCTCAAACCCTTTGTGGGCTGGATTATGTGCAGAAGAGGACCTTTCTCCAGGTTTTCTTCCCTCCTCATGTCATCAAAACTCATCCCTTCTAAAGTGTCCATGTTAGCTTTCTACCTATGCTGTAGAGAGGGGCATGGAAAAAATGACTCAGCTGGTTCTTCAAGGAGCAGTATGGGGCAGGGGAATCCACTTATTTTTATCTCTGATCAGGAGCAGAAGAGACTTCAGGAATTACTTTTCCAGTCATCATGAAATGGTGTGCTTTCAGTAAAATACGAACGAGTGTTTGGGGAAGATCACAGTTTGATGCATCCGCAACATAGATGGATGACCTCTATAGGTGAGGTTAGCCAGTCTTTTCACCATTTCCCCCCCACAGTGATGTTTTCTTCAGTATTAAGGGATGTTACAATTGTTCATCCAGACTAGCATTACATTTTCTTCCTTGTCTTCTAGAAAATTTCAGTGAATTCTGAATTGTGTACAGGATACATGTTTATTACACATGGCAGAAAAAAATTGTGCTTTTCCTAGAATACTAGAAAATACTGTATGGATCATGCAATGAAATTATTTCACTGTTCCTTTTTACTTTTTTTAATTAGACAAAGTGAACACAGTGTGTCTCTTTGTCAGGTGCTCTATTAGTGGTTTGCTTTTCAGTCAGTTTATTCAAAATAGATTTGTAGATGATTTCGTTAATAAAGTGTTCACATTATTCTGTTTCCTTTTATTTAGGATTTTAGTCCGCTCCTTGATGAAAATGGCAGCCAACAATGCAGTTTTGAACAGACTGGAACAAAAGGGTGCGGAAGCAGATCAAGTTATCGAATACCTTAAGCGGCAGGTTGCTCTTCTAAAGGAAAAAGCCAGTAAGATATATATCTTTAACTTTGTTGCTATATGTATATGCAAAATTAGTGTAACAGGGATTTCTGGTAGTGAACCAAGTATTAAAACATATTTAAGGCTATACTTTTCTCATAGTAAGCTATAAATACTGAATGTTTTTTGTTTCAAAAATCATAAAACCTGATTTAAGTTGCTTTATAGCGTGCCTTTTCCCCGCAGTTGGAATATGGGTATCTCACAACATGATTAAAAATAATAGATTTATAATGTTAAAACACAATTGAATTAAAATGGCTAGGAAGCCCATAAGTTGAAATAATAATTATAAAGTTCAGCACCAAGGATAAGAACGCAGTCCTTAACAGCCAGTCACTTGCTAAAATTTTATCTGAATAAAAATATCCTGTCTTGCCTGCAGGAAGTTGAAGAGAGGGCCAGCCTAATTTGGTTTGAAAAAGAATTCCATAACCTAGAAAAGTTGCATTTCACATCCTCATCAAATATGCCTCTGAATATACCTTCTTTCAGGTAGCCTGGACCTAAATTGTATAGACGTGTGTAGATCATAATCAGCAATTTGATTTGTGCCTGGATATAGATGGCTTGGTAATGAAGATTTGTAACAACAGAGTTACGTTTTCCTGTTAAGTTGCCCTAGTCAGCAGTCCATTTACGATATTTTGGTACAGCTAGCCATTCCAAACACTCTTCAAAGGCAATCCCAAAGACAACTGCGGTAATACAGGAATGATATAACGAAGGTGTGTATCACTATGGTCAGATGTACAAATGTGTTCCATTGCAGAAATCTGGACATGCTTGTTCATGGTGAAATCCAATGGTACGTCCAAATTTGCGCTTTCAGTGTCGTCCTCATTCAACATTGTTTAGATACTTTGTGCCTGATCAACCTTTCCAGTCAACTAGGACCACCTCTGTCTTGTCTGATTTAAGCTGCAGTTTGTTCAACTTCATCCCATACATTATTGACACCACAAACTAGTAGAACTAAAACTTGGATTTAGATGAAAGAGAGAAATAGAGTTGGATGTCATCAATATGGTGGTGGAAGCAAATTCCCAAAACTCCAGATAACATATTCCAGTATAAAGGACAAGACTGTGCCTGAAGAAATCCCACAATTCAACAGCTAAAATGCTACAAGAATCCTCCAGCACCACTGTCTGAACTTTCTCTTCCAGGAAGGACTGCAGAAACAGTGCTCTAAGTCCTGTCTCACATACGTGAACCAGAAAAATACTTTGATCAGTGATGTCAAAAGCCAATGAGATGTTCAACTGATTCAGCCAGGACACATTCCCCCATCTAGCTCCTGGCATAGATTGCCCACCAAGGTGCCCCCAAATCCTCTCTGTCCCAATCCTTTCAGTCACAATTTAAATGTGAAAAATCATTTTTATTTAAATAATTTTTAAAAAATCATTTTTTAAAATTTAAATTGTGATTTAAATCGATTTTATTTAAATGAAATCCAACCTGGTTGCATTCATCTATGACAGTGGTGGCGAACCTTTTTGGGCTTGTCAGTCCAAATTGGGGGGGGGGGGAACGGGCCAGCGGAACCAGAAGTAGTGGTGGCGGAAGTGGGAATCCCGGGCACGGAGGTGCCTTGAGACCCCACTCCAGATCCGCCGCCCGCACCAGCTGCTCCAGATCCTGATCCGCCTCCTGTCCAGGCACCAGCACCACT